ACAGACATCACTTTGTCACCCAGGCCTACCACAGACATCACTTTGTCACCCAGGCCTACCACAGACATCACTTTGTCACTCAGACCTACCACAGACATCACTTTGTCACCCAGACCTACCACAGACATCATTTTGTCACCTAGACCTACCACAGACATCACTTTGTCACTCAGACCTACAGTGTACCACAGACATCACTTTGTCACCCAGGCCTACCACAGACATCACTTTGTCACTCAGACCTACCACAGACATCACTTTGTCACCCAGACCTACCACAGACATCATTTTGTCACCTAGACCTACCACAGACATCACTTTGTCACTCAGACCTACAGTGTACCACAGACATCACTTTGTCACCCAGGCCTACCACAGACATCACTTTGTTACCCAGACCGTACCACAGATATCATTTTGTCACCCAGACCTACCAGACATCACTTAATCACCCAGACCTACCACAGACGTCACTTTGTCACCCAGACCTACAGAATTACTTTTTGTAGTCATTGAAGTCTCAAATCAAGAACTATATACTCACCAATGGGGGAGCTGGTAATACTAGACTTCCAGCAGCTTCCTGGTCCAAAATAGTAATGGTTGCTATGGAGATAGATCCCAATAGAGCATTGACAGGTTCATCGGGTCCTAAGACCACATTAAATGTCTCATGCCATTCCACATCCTTATTGAATAGTATTTCTACATTAAAGTCAAGTTTCTTCACACCTAATGGAAAGAAAAAACAAAGGAATAATAAAAATCACCAATAGATGGCACTATTTATACAAGATTTACATAAATAGATCAGTCGTGCTAATGATACTGATTGTCATTATCAAATAAACGATTTTGTAAGATACCATACTTTCTTGTACCATCTATTTTAATTTAAACAAGCCATGCATGGCACAGTCCCTGTTAGTTATCATAAGCATGCCGGAGATATGAATCCAGGTGCTGATGTTTGATTATGATGATTTTTTAACATTAAAATGATTGGCATTCAGTCAAGTACTTATCCATATTGAGCGATATTGCTCTGGAACAGCATTAGTTAAAATAGGTAGGCCATTTTGAATTGGATCATCAAATCAATACATCATTATGACAAGATGTATAACATAATCTGTCAAAGCATGTCAGAAATATGGCTCTAGCATTAAAACAAAATGGCCACCAGTCAGCCACTTTCACACTGATTAGAAAAACACAATAATGTGCATCAGGATACCAATAATGTCTAATGTATGTACCAAGTTTGAACAAAATCTATCAATAAACGACCAAGATCCGGTTCTGGAATTCCACAATTCCATTTTTAATGGAATCGTCAAACCAATGTATCTGTATATCTATGACATGATGTGTAATGAATACATACAATTTGAACATAATCAGTCAAAGTATGTCATGGATATAGCACTAGAACTGCATTCATTAAAACAAAAAAATGGCCACCAGTCGGCTATTTTGAATCCGATCTGAAAAACAAAATGACGTGCATCAGAGACCCATAATGTCTAATGTATGTACAAAGTTTGAACAAAATACATCTGTAAACAGCTGAGATCCAGTTCTGGAATGGCAGAAATGCTTGATTTTGATGAGGCTAGATATTGCTATTTAGAAAAACATCTTAGCATATCTTAGCAGAGCGACTACCTCTTTGCCAATTTTATCAACATCCCACCTCCCAGTAACAAGTGGATTAGCATAAATCAATTCAACATATTCTCACCTGGCTGCATTTTCAATAATCTTGATTTGGGATTATAATCAATTCCAGACTTAGCGGATCCATCTCGTGTACTACACCTGACTTTTGATGTGCCGTTATGATCCCCAGTTCTCACAATAACCACATTTACCAGTGATACATCATCTGCCCTGGTTGGTTCATATACAGTGTAGGCCATTCTCTCAATCTGTATGGTAGGTGCTGGTAAGAAATACAGATTTTTACAATATTATGTACACAGTTACGTTACATTACAGACTAAGTCTTAGTTATATACAAGCCTCATGTCACTATACTATGAGGTTAATACGAGAATACCTCAAAGTATGCACGAAGACAGTACAGCTGGAGTATCGACTGACGTGCAGTGGAGGTCGATGTGATGGTGTACTGTCTGAGTGCATACTTTGAGGTATTCTCGTAATAACCTTATTATTATACATCTTTTCCTTCCAAGGATACATCATGGGAAAGCCAAAATCAAAAATGTTTAGAACCGAATCAGCGAAATTCTTTGTGTGGAGTCCGGTCAAACCCTGGTGGCAGCCATGTTTGTTTTTATTATTAGAGGATGCTTACACACGTAATCATTCCATATTTAGAATTTGCATTTCCTTACATGATAGTATGAAAATACCCCGTAAAATACCACAAATTATGTTACGTTATGGTGACAAATGTATAATAATATAATTTACTAACAATGGAAAAAATATTTTTTTTATTATGAATAAATAATTGTTAAATATTATGGTGATCTTAACCATTCAAATTAGTCAAAATAACCTCAATTTTGGTGTCAGCAAAAATTATCATACAGAGCTTATTGATAACTGTATC